CAATCGTCCACACTCCTTTCTGCAGCCATTTTCTGGCAAAATTGCCTAGGCCCTTGGCTACCGAGAAGGGATGCCCGGATGCGTTCAAGAAATCTGGGTTTTCAAAGAGACTAGTTGAGAGAATTTCAGAGACTGTAGTAGGGGGGCTGAGTGTAGATGGGAGGATTTTTGACCAGGCTTTGAGGATTGGCCTTCAAGTGGGTGATTTTACAATAGACTGCTTTTTAATGCCAATTGGGGGGACCAACGCGGGCACCAAGCATCTCCAGGAAGGTACATGAGGCTAATGGGGATTGAACCCAAGACCTCTTGAATGCCTCTTGCGTGCCAGTGGTGTTTTTTTTTTTTGTTTTTGTGCTTTTTCTTTTCAGTTCACTCATTTTGATTGGCAGCTCTTCAAAAGATTAAAAAAAAATCAAGTACTCGAAGGGCATGGTTTTGACAGCCTTCTTTTTCCCGGTCAATTGCAACCCCATTGAGTACTTGATTTTTCTCTCAAAATATACGAACTGCACGCTTCAGCATGGCAACCGTCAGAGAAGGGAGTCCGGTCAGGCACACGAAGGGACTCCCTCGCTGTGATACGCGAGACTGCAACAGTCACGTACCACTCTGTCTTGATCAGGCATTGGCTAGATGGGGAGGAGGGGGGGGCAACGACAGGGTTAGTGGGACGGCAGCACTTTCAAAAGCCTGCCTCCTTCCCATCTTGGGAAATGTAACGTCGCCATTTTGCTTTTTTTTAAGTCTTAAACCATGAGTACCTCGCAGCCTACCGGTATGCCAAACCTTGCCGAGCCTCGAGCTACCGGTAGGGCAAGGGGTTGAGTGGTTAGTACGGGCTAGTAGGTGGATAAACCTCCTGAAGACGACGACGTGGCGGCCGTCGAAACGGGTTGAGGACGCCGTTTCTCCTGCGACAATTCTTTCTTTCAAGAAATGCTTGCAATGTTCTTGCAATAATAGGCTCTTATGCCGAATTGCTCGTGTTTTTTTGCATGAAGTGTGATTTTTTTTTTT